TTTGCGCTATTACAATAGGAAATGTTGCTTAATTGTTTACACACAACCGTTTATGATGGCAAAATTTTTGGCAAGATTTTCTCAATATGATCCATTTTTACCCGAAAACTTTTGTTGTTGGCTGGTTGCCACCAAATCAGCTCATATTTTTTTTCTTTAATTCCACAAAACAGCGCGTTGCCCTGCAAGTTGCTCCGAAATTCCTATCTCAGTTATATTCCTTAAAAAAGTTCATAAACCTCTTCTGTCTGAAATTTTTTTCAATTTTGTGTTTTTTTTGCGAGTGTTGCCTCGGCAGAATATCTAAATGAAAGCTTAGAAAGTTAGTAATAGTACTAAACTGACTACTACTTCTTTGATAAAGCAATAAAACACGAAATTTTTCGACCAATTTTTCAAATTAAAAATGTTTGTGTTTTTTAAATCGTTTTGCTTAAGAACCACTGAAAAACTTGTTTTCAACATTAAAAATTTTGGCTTGAACAGCTGCTCGTAGTTTAACGACAGCCACTCGTTTGATTTGTTTTCACTAACTTACTACACCTTTCTCGGACTAAGCTTACACAATTTTTTGATTTGGTAAGTTAACAATTGGTGAGCAAATGAAACAAATCAGCTCCCGAAAGTGTTAATCAGTTACTTACATCTGATTGCAACCAACAACAAGAAGTATTCACCTTTTTGTACAAGAAAAACTAGGAAACTAGGAAGTTGTTTCTTGTTAATCAGTTCCACTATTAAAGTTGACAATAAACTGTAAAAACAACGTAAAATAACTTTAAAATGACCGTCTAGAAAATCGGGCTTCCTTTTATCAAATGGTGGGACCAAATTTCTAAAATTCAACCACAAAGTTCAAAAGAAACAAAATGACTGTCGGCGAAAATAAATACCCTTTTTGAAAACCCTGGCAATACATTTGCCCAGCGGTATTCTGGGCCATGTATATAGCTAGCTTGCAATTGTCTCTGTGATCTAATACGAAAATCTGCATGTGCTTCAGTGGTTCAACAAGTACTTTCATGACAAAATGTCGAAAGCTTTTACTACTTGATTGCAAAAAGTATCTGCGTACTTTCGATTGATCTCAGCACAAAGACAGCTTTGAGACATTTAATGCAAATGCTAGAGAAGGGTTTTAACATTATCTTTTTACGATAGTCGTTATTTTTGCTTTAAATTATCAGAAAAACGTATTCCAGCCCTAATTTAAAAAGACTTTTTTAGAAAATTTGAAGGAACATTTGCTGAAGGACACTATCGCGCAGCCTGCAAATATAAACTTTCATTACATAGGAAGCGTTTTTCGATTGGCTATCGAAGCTTTGATTTCATGTTTCTAATTTTCATTCATAGCAGCTTGACACTTTCTACAATAATTAGAAATACATTTTTAGTCAAGAAAATGCAAGTTGTCATTTTTCTGTTTTCATTGACATATATTATATAAGACTGTAGATGTAAGAACTTTTTTTCTGCAGATTGAGCGAATCAATGTCCATAATCAATAAACAATTTGAAAATGCTCTTCGATAATTTTCAATAGCGTCGGAGAGAAAGTTGAACCAGTTATAGGAGCAACATTTTGCTTCCACATTTGCGCCAAAACTGAAAAGAAAGACAAAGGCTTCGAGACACTTAATTATATTTCAAACTAAAATTTTATGCATTGGCCTTTTTATGGTTTTATGGTTTAAATACGGCATTTTAAATTGTTTTTAGTATGAGTTTCTGAGAGGTACACTTCAGCAAAGTAGGCGAAAGCATCTTTGTAATACTGAGAACAAACTGTGTACAAATTTACAATTTCCAAATGACGCAAAAAAGTCCCATTTTTTCGTTCAAAAAATTAGCCATTTTTTCGTTCAAAAGACGCGATGTACGCCAAAAAAAACCTACACTAGAGGATTTCATGTTTCATTCAAGTGTGGCGTGTGGCTCCATAATTACAGCACACACTAAATTTTTTGAAACTTTTCATTAATAACTTCCGTTCAAATTTGTCTTTTCTATATCTTATAGTTTTTTATCCAGTTGTACCGCCATAACTCCAACTATAAATTTAAAGAAAGCCTTAACTCGCAAAGTTTGAAAATAAATTTATAAGTATAGAGTTTCGAGTTAAAGTCGACGGCGATAGCCGGCTCTAAATTTTGTATAAAATCCTACTTTCTCTTGGCAAGCTCTCAACATGCTGGCGCGACTGGGGCGATGAATTTTCTGCGAACTATTTTGCCAATGCGAGTTGTCTTTTATTGCGAGTTATCTTTTGTTGCGAGTTGTAGCATTACGGTTTACACTGATCTTTGCATACTCAAAGACAAAAGATGCAGCGGGTATATAATTTCAGCATCCTCATTTTCTGAAGTTATGAATGCAAAAACGTGTATTATGTTCATGATTTAGCTTAACAAAATAAACAATTTGAAAAATGTTATGTATTTGTTGTGATATGATAACAGATGGAAGATTTTCCAAATTTTCACATAGGCCATCGCCAATAAAAAACAACCAAATTTGGATGCAAAATCTAAACCAAATTTGGTTTATAAAAAACAATATTTGTCTCTTTAGACATTTTTGACTGGAAAAATTTACGAAGGTGGTTAACTCATTTCAGATATGTTTCGACTGGCTTTAGCAATTTAAGTTGCTCAAGCTAGTTGAAGCATATCTGTATTGAGTCAAGCACCTTCTAAGTTTTTTCAGTCAAAAAAGTCTAGAGAGACAAACTTTACTCATATTTTGTGGACAAATAGCTAATTATGCAGAACCAATTTTCTTAAACCAAATTTGGTTTATATTTTGGATCCAAATTTGGTTGTTTTTTTATTGGCGATGGATTTTGTGAAAATGTGGAAAACCTTCCAGCTGATTTCATATTAAAACAAATGAAAAACTTTTTTAAATCGATTATTTTGTTAAACTAAGTCATGATCATGATACACGTTTTTGCATTCTTAACTTCAAAAAATGAGGATGCTGAAATCCCGCTGCATCTTTTGTCCTTCGAGTATGAAAAGATCGGTGTAAACCGTATTACTACAGCTCGCAACATAAGACAACTCGCAATAAAAGACAACTCGCATTGGCAAAATAGTTCGCAGAATATTCATCGCCCCAGTCGCGCCAGCATGTTGAGAGCTTGCCACGAGATGGTAAGAAATTATACGAAATTTAGAGCCGGTTATCGAAACTCGAAACTCTATACTTATAAATTCATTTTCAAATTTTGCGAGTTAGCGCTTTCTTTAAATTTATAGTTGGAATTATCGCCGTACAACTAGATAAAAACTATAAGATATAGAAAAGACAAATTTCAACGGAAGTTATTAATGAAAAATTTGAAAAAATTTAGTGTGTGCTGTAATTTTAGAGCCACACGCCACACTTAAACGAAACATGAAATCCTCTAGTGTAAGTTTTTTTGGCGTACAACGCGTCTAGATGGCTAATTTTTGAACAAAAAACTAGGACTTCTTTGCGTCATATGGAAACTGTAAATTTGTGCACAATTTTATCTCAGTATTACAAAGACGCTTTCGTTTACTTTGTTGAAGTGCACCTCTCGGAAACTCATACTGAAAACAATTTAAAATGCCGTATTTAAACCATAAAACCATAAAAAAGCCAATTTTAGTTTGAAATTTAATTAAGTGTCTCGAAGCCTTTGTTTTAGTTTCAGTTTTTGCGCAAATGTGGATAGCAAAGTGTTGCTCCTATCAACTTTCTCTCCGACACTAAAAGTAAGCCGTTTTTCGAGACCATTTCTGGATTTTAAAATTTTGTTAAAATGGAAACGATATCTCAAATTTTTGAAGAAGAACTTCATTTTTTTGACCCCAGAAAAGTTTTTGAACAATAGTTTTTCGAAAACTTTTTTTTGTTTGACATATTTTTGTATACCCAGGGTTTTGAATGACTAATTCAAAATTTTAAATTAAAAAATTGGCATTTTTGGACAATTTTGCCAAACTTCTTTTTTGCATATTATTGTTTGTGTAAGAGATCTTGATGCAGGTCATTTCCAATGCATTGTACATGTAAGACAAAGACCGTTTAACTTTAGATGACTCAAGCTTCGGATTACAAGGCTCTTTGTCACTCTGATTCGGTTACAAACAACAACCCCCAATACTGATCAAAAGTTGATCAGAGTCAAGTTATAGATTGAACAAAAACCCCAGATTGACCAAAGTTGCTAGTCATATATGGAAATATGTTTATCATAGACCTTTTGTGCAACTGCAGAAAAATTGTATGAATAGCATTTTTGGTCAACACGGATTTGTTTTTGATCTATAACTCCACTGAATTCAACATTTGTTCTGACTGTGGTCGAAATATTTTCGACTGTGCTTGACTTTTTTCGACATCTGCCATCGAAATTGGATACGTTTCGACTGAAATCGGCCTATGTTTTGACTCTGTTTGACTTATCTTTACACTGGACTCGACCGAAATCAGGTATGTTTCTACTTTGTTCTCGATTTAAAATTGCTTCTCGACTCAAAAATTCAGTTGCAAAACTGCACCTTAAAGACATTCAGCATTTCGGCCCGGGTAGCAGCGTTTGAATCAGGCCAAAATTATCAAAATGGTGCAATCAAAATGTGATCTTGGTCATGTCATCAAAACCGAAGGACTCTTAAGTGTAATGATTCATGTAATCATTTTTCATATTCATGCTTCCTCATGGCACTGTTTTGAGTTTTTCAACCACAATTTATTTATTCTTTAGACGGGTATCTTTAGCTCAGTATAACTTTTAATTTTATTTTCGACGTCGCTTTTTTCAACATTTTGATTTCTTTTCCGACATCTCGTAATGAAAATAAGATTACGCATTGCTTTTATATTAAGTTTTCTTTCGGTTTCATTAAGTTTGATGCTGTTCAATGCCAGCCAGATGAACTTCATTAACTATTTGCAATCAACCTTATATAGTAATTCCAAGATTCGGTTAAATTTAAAGAGATTCGAATTAAATACAATGAAGCCAAGAAGAGTAATTCCATCTCTTCGAATACTCTATGATATCATGAAGAGAAAACTATTCTTCCTAATTGTTTTGATTGAATGTATTCATATGTTATCAGCATTCACTCATAAAAGGTTCAAAAATGACACAACTTTTGACAGTGTAGTTGAGTCGCTTGTTGTCAATGGAGGCAGCACCTATCATAACGGGTTCTACGTTAAAGTCAGGACCCTGAAACCCCTGGGACCTCGCAACTTCTGCGGGGGCGTGCTGATCAACAGTCTATGGGTGCTTACAGCCGCACACTGCGTCAAACCCACATCACGTAACATCTCATTGTTAATCTTTGAAGATATCTCTTTGAAGATCTCAAATTTCGTATTTCATTTGATAAAACGGGCAGTGCTCTGTAATCCGATTGGGTTCGCTAACTGTCCCCTCACTGTTTCTGGTGCTTCATGTTTAAATTCTCGTTTTATGCATATTTACCATTAACAATGAGGAATAAAATCTTTCTTTCTTTCTTTAATTTTTTATTGATATATATTATTAGTAGTTTCATTAGTGATGGAACACTAACAATTATTTTTGAATAATTTTGTCAACGAAAGACTCTCTACGCATTTATTTGAAAATACAGTGCGTAAAAAACTGTTTTTCACTTTTAAAAAACTATGTTTAGATGCTGATGAGAATGAGCTTTGTTAGATATCAAAATATAAGTAATGGTTTTAAAATTACTCCAAAATTCAATGAATTCGATGATAATTCATTCTAAATTGTTTCAGCTCGGAATCTGATTATTGAGGTTAGCAACTTCCCCAGAAATGAAAAGCCACTGAAAATAATTCACGTTAGTGCAAAGATGACAGCAAGAGGGTAGGTAGCTCCTTTGCATTATCTTTAACCCAATCATCTATAGTAAATTAATGAACTAGGCTGTTGTAATTTCATGCGAAGTCTGGTTCTACTACTTAGAGTCCGAGTGATATCGTAATAACATGCGTTTTCAGTGATAATTTGGGCTCAAAAAGTTTCCAAATAATTCTCTTTGTCGCAAAAAATGAATAAAACAACTGGTCTTAATTTGCTATCAATATCAACTTCTGGGACGATTGGACAAAATGTGGTTTTCATTAAGAATTTTTGATTTTGGTTTTTTCTTTAACCAATAATGTGTGCTTATTCATTTTAAACAAATATTTAGGACAACCGTTTGTTTTTTGCTGGTTTAGTTTATAATTTTTGCGATGGAAGAAATTATATCAAAACTAACCCGCATGATCTGTCAAAAAATCGGGTTATTTTCAAATGAGAATAATAACATGTGTTCCAAATTGCAAAATGGATTATTGACCAACGGCTGCTGATTGGACTAAATTAGAGTTGAATTTTTCCTTTTTTTCTACTTTGAAAGAAAACTTGGTCATCTGCTACCGAAATTGCAGCAACAAAAAGTTTTTTTTTCTGATTGAGTATATTATCTTACAACTATTTCAAAATAACGTCGAACAAGTATCTTTGATCATATATTTTGTTGACATCTCAATCCTTCATTATAACTGTGGTCGGAACATTCTAAGCCACTTGAACTGTGACCAACTTGTTGGTTGATTTCTTGAATGTAAAACTTTGAGTTAATTCTCAATTTTTTTTTTTAAATAATTTTGAAGAAATTTTGCGGTCTTTTTAGTACTTTTATTATTATTTAATTTAAAAAAAAAGTAGGCGAATAGATGTTGCTCATAGAGAATGCCACCCGACAGGCTGATGTCTTTTTAGTATTATCCCAAGCCGAACTAACTTGTCAGCTTAAATTTCATAGAATGTTTGGCTCTGATTTTTGGCTTGTAAGTTAAACAAGACTGCTCTTTTATCAAGGCAAAATCTGAATGTTCCGACTGTCCATTAACTTTTATCGAATAGTTTGTGGGAAAAGACAATACAGAAAACCTATACATTTTTGGACAAAATCAACGGGTAAAATTTTGAGCCGTACGAAATTATTAAGAACAACAAGACTGCTCGTATCAGGGCGAAGCCCTGAATGTTCCGACTGCCTTTTAGGGTTTATGGAGCAGCAGTAATAACATAAAAAAATTAAATGAAATAAAATAAAATGAAATTTTTTTTTCTAAAATTTGAAATTTTTAATGAAAATCATCCCCCCACACGCCATATAAAGTACAAAAAGAGAGATTTCGTTCCTTCTAACAAATCAATTATGGCAAATAGCTTCGTTCAACCAATTTGGAACGATTTATAGGACGGATTAAATCTCCGCTTAAGCGTTAATAGCGCGAATTATATCGCTCGTTAATTGTCCCAAATTGGTCAAAATGGCAATCTTTAAACCCTCATAACTTTACGAAAAATAATCACAGGTGAAATATCATTTCAAATTTAAGCTCAGGACAACAATACCTTTCGAATGATAGAAAAAATTCCGTCAAAAATGGCTAGTTAAAAAGTCGAAATTTGTCTGAAGAAAAAAAACCCACCCCGAGCACAAATATTCAGTTACTTTCGTATCGAAAGTCGGAACAATTAGCTAGCCTCAATTCAATTTGGAACGATTTTGCGGGATAATTTGCCACGCATAAATAATTTGCGTTTGATCTCAGCATTATGAATAAACTCTTCAAAGCGCGCATAATTTAGTCCAGAACATGACAAATGCAGTTTTCAAACCCCCAGAACTTTTTTAAAAAATTATCGGAGATTAAATACCTTTATACTTTTGAACTGAGTAACCAAATTAGTAATTTACAACTGAAGAAATTGGCAACGACTCTACATGGAACTTTGAGCTGCGCGAACTTTCTTTTATGTTTTCATTGTTTCGACTTTCGTAACGAAAGTAACGGAATATTTGTGCTTTGGGTTGTTTTTTTTTCTTCAGACAAATTTCGACTTTTTAAGAAGCTATTTTTGATAGAAATTTTAAAAGTTATTCAAAAAGTGGTGTTGTCCTGAGTTGAAAACATCATAATTACCCAGTCATCGTTTTTCGTAAAACTATGTGAGTTTAAAAATTGCCATTTTGGCCAAATTGGGACATTTAACGCGCGATATGTTTCGCGCTATTAACGCGTAAGTGGAGATTTAATCCGCCTTAGAAATTGTTCCAAATTGATTGAAAGAAGCTTGTTTGCCATAATTGATTTGTTACTAGGAGCGAAATTTATCACTTCGTACTTTATATGGCGCCTGTTGGGGGTTGATCCACAAAATATCTCAGTTTTAAAAAAAATCGTTTTATTACATTTAGTTTTTTCATGTTATCACTGCTCCATAGACCTCAAAAGACAGTCGGAACATTCAGAGCTTCGCTCTGATACGAGCAATTTTGTTCTATTTCATTACTGAGATTTTGTTTGGACTGGGGTACTGATATTTTTAGATGAAACATTATACGCATTTGGATTTTGGATACAAAAAGCTGGGCCATGTTTACGAACACGACATCGCCCTGTTAAGACTGAGAGAAAGCATCAAACAGGCCTACTTCGGAATTCTCCAATTATACTTTGAACGACAAGACATCGGAATCCCATTGATAGCTTTAAGAATGGGCTCAATAAAGCAAAATCAATTTGAGTTTCCTCTGTCTCTGCAAATGGCTGAATTCCGAGAAATCACGCGATTGAAGACTGCCGAGGACTTTAAATTTGAAACTTGTTCTGAGGCAACGATTTGTACCAAGGTGATATATAGCAATTAAGAAACCATTTTTTACTCCCTTCATCAGCTTGACGTTACCTTGCTGGAATAGAATTGTTTTCATGATTGCATTCGCTTCCTTAGTAAAAACTTAATCTAGTCCAATTATTTAAAGGGGTGCCTTTTGGGCTGCATTTTTGCGGAGAAGATATTTCAAAAATCATCTAAAGTTTTGTTGATTTTTTTGTAACTGATCGGCATGATTTTCCAATGCCGCAAAAATGCTTTAAAAAAACACGTTTTTACCAAACTTTGCGCCAATGTGATAAACGAGAGAAACAACTCGTCTGTTTAGAAGTAAAACACTGATGTTAAAATGTTTGAATTCAAAATTTAGTTTTTAGTTTTTTTGTTATTTAAGTGGTAGCTCAGATCAACTGGCTTAATTCAATACTTGAGTATTGCGAACTGAAATCAACAACAGATAATCTTCTAAAACAGCACCTCTGACCTTAACTATACATACGTAACAAAATCATTCTCATAATTACATAGCGCCAATAAAAACACACTTAACTGCGACTGCAGTAATAAACTATAAGTCAGCTAAAGGTTGCTGCAAACGCAGTACTACATTCCCCCGAAACCAAGAAAAATATAAAAATTTAGCAATATACTAGCATAAAATGGGCTTCTGTACTCAGTTTTATACATTGGTATATAAGTGAGTCTCATTTTTAACGTTTCATTATTAGTGGCACTTTCCACTTTGCACTTATCTAAACATTCAGAATTTATAAGAACTTATCTCTTCTGATCCTAAATTCGGTTTTTGGAGACCTGCCGAAGTGTGCCTCAAATGGCGAAAGCGACTGTTGAATTCATTTTTGTTTAGTCCAACGAATATCCCGAATTATTGGACTGAGGCATGGTTTGATCACTTTCACGTTTTCTTTGACCAACATGACGCCGAGCTATCTTTTTATTGTCTGAATTGTTCTTTCTACCAACCCACAAACGCGATGGTCGCCAACCGGGAAAAACGAAAGTTCTATATTATTATCAAGGCTGAATTTTTTCATCGCCTTCCCTTTGAACGAACCCCGAAAATTGATCTGTTTTTATTGACTCTGGTATTCCATGAGTGTCGATGGAAGAGCGTAACAATTTTATCGAAGATTTACCTCCCCCCCATCGATTTTGTAAATTTGATTGAAGGAACTTTAGAGTATTGGTCGATTGCTACTAGCAGATAGATCTTTTTCACTTTACAAGCTTCTAGTCGACCAGCGTAGTCCAACTGAACTTCTTGATCCGACTGCAAAAGCAGTGGAAGAGGGTTTGAAGAATATATTTTGCATTCCTACCGTATCTGGTACATTTCCTGCACTCCTCGGCCAGATTGATGATATCTTTATGCATATGTTTCATACATCAATCATTGCCTCTTGTCCCGGATGGCCTCAGTGGATCCTCTTCATTACCGCGGGTCTGGATTGTCCTGGAAGTGGTAGTCTATTGTCGACTTATATACAGTCGTCGACGACTGACAACTGATTCCAGAGTGGGTTCGTGTATGGGCCCATTAGTTCAAATCCTGCCCAGTCGTTCCGCTCTATGACCAGTCTTAATCGATCCATCCGTACGTCTTTGGATATGAGCTCAACCAGTAAAACACTGATGTTAAAATGTTTGAATTCAAAATTTAGTTTTTAGTTTTTTTGTTATTTAAGTGGTAGCTCAGATCAACTGGCTTAATTCAATACTTGAGTATTGCGAACTGAAATCAACAACAGATAATCTTCTAAAACAGCACCTCTGACCTTAACTATACATACGTAACAAAATCATTCTCATAATTACATAGCGCCAATAAAAACACACTTAACTGCGACTGCAGTAATAAACTATAAGTCAGCTAAAGGTTGCTGCAAACGCAGTACTACATTCCCCCGAAACCAAGAAAAATATAAAAATTTAGCAATATACTAGCATAAAATGGGCTTCTGTACTCAGTTTTATACATTGGTATATAAGTGAGTCTCATTTTTAACGTTTCATTATTAGTGGCACTTTCCACTTTGCGTCCCACGATCTGGAAAAGTCAAGTGCGGCGTATCCAAATTTTGGCCGAAACAAACGCCTCTCCAAAAGTCCTAGGTCCTAGCCTTGTCTCCATTGGTTTGTCTGTCTCTGTTTTAAGATTCGCCAATTTTTGTCTATAGGCCTCCAGAGCTAGTTGATTTGGATCCGCAATGTCCTCGTCAGTAGTTGTTTCTTTTACTGAATGCTTTATTGGGCTGCCTAATCGTTTCGGCCCCTGATTTTTATTGGATCTCTTGCTGTGGCGGACCTTTGGTCCCGTCGGGTCAGCTACACTTGACTCGTCTGAAAATCCTGGTGGAGAGCTCATCCGCCCGTTGTATGTTCCTCCGGCATAGATTTTTTAGCGTTCAAGATTTCCTCAGCTGTATTCTGGATTCCCCTCGTTAGAACTTGGTCCGCTAGATTCTCCCACTCTTCAGGGGCCATCGTGTCTTGTTGTTGAAACGTGTTGAGAATCGTGTTAGGGGATGTATATCTATGTATCCTCTTTATCTTAGGATTGTTTTTTCTTGACGAGGACGAACTGCTTGGGGCTGCTTATCCCCGTGTGTCCTCGCTGTCTCCTCTGTTCTAGTCAAAACTTGGTTTTCTACAGCTGCTGCAGCTTTTTTCTTTTCCTGTGCCGACTTTTTCTTGACTTTTTGCTTCAGGACGACATCCTCGTGGGACTTTGGTCCTATCGACGCTGGACCACCCTGATGGTGTTTGGCTTTTTTGACCGCTAAGTTTAAACCTTCTCTTATTGGGGTGCCCTTTGATGTCACCACTGTGTCGCTATTCTGAAAAAGTTCTTTGGCCTGCTCCTCTGACTGAATTCGGATTTCTTCCTCTGAATCACTTTCTAGTGGTGGCTCTATCTCTTGTCTCTGATGTTTTCTTTCCGGCTCCCCCAGAGGACTTTTAACTTCCCCTTTTGACTCCCTCTCACTGCGGTATTCGGCAATCCTTTGAGTGGTATTGTCGACTTCGCTAGATCACTCTTTCGGTATGTCGAGCCAGATGCTGTTGTAACAGTTGTCGGTGTATCCGCGTGGGTTTATCTTCTACGAATCCGCGTTCCCATGAATACAGTAACTCTTACTTGAGATTTTGGCCGATCTTGCTCGTGTCGTCCACTAGCTGCTGAAGATCGTTCCCTGAAAACTCTCGCCTCTCGTCATTCCGTTTTGCGTTTGTCTCCAGTAACGCCTTGAGAGTCCTCGCCCTGTCTCTGTCTCGTGCTGCTCTAGTTTGCTGCTTGAACAGCGGGCTAACCTCTCTGCTATTCTGGCCCTTTGGTACAGTTGTCAGAGAGTCCCGGAATTGATCAATCCTTTTTTTCAATTTGCTCTTGGTCAGTGCTGACCTCTCCAGACGCTGCTTATCTAAACATTCAGAATTTATAAGAACTTATCTCTTCTGATCCTAAATTCGGTTTTTGGAGACCTGCCGAAGTGTGCCTCAAATGGCGAAAGCGACTGTTGAATTCATTTTTGTTTAGTCCAACGAATATCCCGAATTATTGGACTGAGGCATGGTTTGATCACTTTCACGTTTTCTTTGACCAACATGACGCCGAGCTATCTTTTTATTGTCTGAATTGTTCTTTCTACCAACCCACAAACGCGATGGTCGCCAACCGGGAAAAACGAAAGTTCTATATTATTATCAAGGCTGAATTTTTTCATCGCCTTCCCTTTGAACGAACCCCGAAAATTGATCTGTTTTTATTGACTCTGGTATTCCATGAGTGTCGATGGAAGAGCGTAACAATTTTATCGAAGATTTACCTCCCCCCCCATCGATTTTGTAAATTTGATTGAAGGAACTTTAGAGTATTGGTCGATTGCTACTAGCAGATAGATCTTTTTCACTTTACAAGCTTCTAGTCGACCAGCGTAGTCCAACTGAACTTCTTGATCCGACTGCAAAAGCAGTGGAAGAGGGTTTGAAGAATATATTTTGCATTCCTACCGTATCTGGTACATTTCCTGCACTCCTCGGCCAGATTGATGATATCTTTATGCATATGTTTCATACATCAATCATTGCCTCTTGTCCCGGATGGCCTCAGTGGATCCTCTTCATTACCGCGGGTCTGGATTGTCCTGGAAGTGGTAGTCTATTGTCGACTTATATACAGTCGTCGACGACTGACAACTGATTCCAGAGTGGGTTCGTGTATGGGCCCATTAGTTCAAATCCTGCCCAGTCGTTCCGCTCTATGACCAGTCTTAATCGATCCATCCGTACGTCTTTGGATATGAGCTCAACCAGTAAAACACTGATGTTAAAATGTTTGAATTCAAAATTTAGTTTTTAGTTTTTTTGTTATTTAAGTGGTAGCTCAGATCAACTGGCTTAATTCAATACTTGAGTATTGCGAACTGAAATCAACAACAGATAATCTTCTAAAACAGCACCTCTGACCTTAACTATACATACGTAACAAAATCATTCTCATAATTACATAGCGCCAATAAAAACACACTTAACTGCGACTGCAGTAATAAACTATAAGTCAGCTAAAGGTTGCTGCAAACGCAGTACTACATTCCCCCGAAACCAAGAAAAATATAAAAATTTAGCAATATACTAGCATAAAATGGGCTTCTGTACTCAGTTTTATACATTGGTATATAAGTGAGTCTCATTTTTAACGTTTCATTATTAGTGGCACTTTCCACTTTGCGTCCCACGATCTGGAAAAGTCAAGTGCGGCGTATCCAAATTTTGGCCGAAACAAACGCCTCTCCAAAAGTCCTAGGTCCTAGCCTTGTCTCCATTGGTTTGTCTGTCTCTGTTTTAAGATTCGCCAATTTTTGTCTATAGGCCTCCAGAGCTAGTTGATTTGGATCCGCAATGTCCTCGTCAGTAGTTGTTTCTTTTACTGAATGCTTTATTGGGCTGCCTAATCGTTTCGGCCCCTGATTTTTATTGGATCTCTTGCTGTGGCGGACCTTTGGTCCCGTCGGGTCAGCTACACTTGACTCGTCTGAAAATCCTGGTGGAGAGCTCATCCGCCCGTTGTATGTTCCTCCGGCATAGATTTTTTAGCGTTCAAGATTTCCTCAGCTGTATTCTGGATTCCCCTCGTTAGAACTTGGTCCGCTAGATTCTCCCACTCTTCAGGGGCCATCGTGTCTTGTTGTTGAAACGTGTTGAGAATCGTGTTAGGGGATGTATATCTATGTATCCTCTTTATCTTAGGATTGTTTTTTCTTGACGAGGACGAACTGCTTGGGGCTGCTTATCCCCGTGTGTCCTCGCTGTCTCCTCTGTTCTAGTCAAAACTTGGTTTTCTACAGCTGCTGCAGCTTTTTTCTTTTCCTGTGCCGACTTTTTCTTGACTTTTTGCTTCAGGACGACATCCTCGTGGGACTTTGGTCCTATCGACGCTGGACCACCCTGATGGTGTTTGGCTTTTTTGACCGCTAAGTTTAAACCTTCTCTTATTGGGGTGCCCTTTGATGTCACCACTGTGTCGCTATTCTGAAAAAGTTCTTTGGCCTGCTCCTCTGACTGAATTCGGATTTCTTCCTCTGAATCACTTTCTAGTGGTGGCTCTATCTCTTGTCTCTGATGTTTTCTTTCCGGCTCCCCCAGAGGACTTTTAACTTCCCCTTTTGACTCCCTCTCACTGCGGTATTCGGCAATCCTTTGAGTGGTATTGTCGACTTCGCTAGATCACTCTTTCGGTATGTCGAGCCAGATGCTGTTGTAACAGTTGTCGGTGTATCCGCGTGGGTTTATCTTCTACGAATCCGCGTTCCCATGAATACAGTAACTCTTACTTGAGATTTTGGCCGATCTTGCTCGTGTCGTCCACTAGCTGCTGAAGATCGTTCCCTGAAAACTCTCGCCTCTCGTCATTCCGTTTTGCGTTTGTCTCCAGTAACGCCTTGAGAGTCCTCGCCCTGTCTCTGTCTCGTGCTGCTCTAGTTTGCTGCTTGAACAGCGGGCTAACCTCTCTGCTATTCTGGCCCTTTGGTACAGTTGTCAGAGAGTCCCGGAATTGATCAATCCTTTTTTTCAATTTGCTCTTGGTCAGTGCTGACCTCTCCAGACGCTGCTTATCTAAACATTCAGAATTTATAAGAACTTATCTCTTCTGATCCTAAATTCGGTTTTTGGAGACCTGCCGAAGTGTGCCTCAAATGGCGAAAGCGACTGTTGAATTCATTTTTGTTTAGTCCAACGAATATCCCGAATTATTGGACTGAGGCATGGTTTGATCACTTTCACGTTTTCTTTGACCAACATGACGCCGAGCTATCTTTTTATTGTCTGAATTGTTCTTTCTACCAACCCACAAATGCGATGGTCGCCAACCGGGAAAAACGAAAGTTCTATATTATTATCAAGGCTGAATTTTTTCATCGCCTTCCCTTTGAACGAACCCCGAAAATTGATCTGTTTTTATTGACTCTGGTATTCCATGAGTGTCGATGGAAGAGCGTAACAATTTTATCGAAGATTTACCTCCCCCCCCATCGATTTTGTAAATTTGATTGAAGGAACTTTAGAGTATTGGTCGATTGCTACTAGCAGATAGATCTTTTTCACTTTACAAGCTTCTAGTCGACCAGCGTAGTCCAACTGAACTTCTTGATCCGACTGCAAAAGCAGTGGAAGAGGGTTTGAAGAATATATTTTGCATTCCTACCGTATCTGGTACATTTCCTGCACTCCTCGGCCAGATTGATGATATCTTTATGCATATGTTTCATACATCAATCATTGCCTCTTGTCCCGGATGGCCTCAGTGGATCCTCTTCATTACCGCGGGTCTGGATTGTCCTGGAAGTGGTAGTCTATTGTCGACTTATATACAGTCGTCGACGACTGACAACTGATTCCAGAGTGGGTTCGTGTATGGGCCCATTAGTTCAAATCCTGCCCAGTCGTTCCGCTCTATGACCAGTCTTAATCGATCCATCCGTACGTCTTTGGATATGAGCTCAACCAACAAATTTTTATCAAGCAGTTGTGACAGGCTGAAGATACCCACGTCTCTCAGCTGTTCGTTTTTTGAGCGATCCTCCTTCCTAGAGTCGCTTTTAATTCTCGTTGACTGTTGTAAGACACTCACCTCTGGGCTACAATCATTGTCCTCTGCTGTTAAGTTCACCTCATTGATTGCTTTTGACGGTGAATCATGTGATTGCTACTGACCTTAGGACTGCTAGTGAGAATTTTAATCGCAGCTTCAAGCTGTAGACTACTTTCTGAATACTCCCTCGTGTCTTGACTGACTGGGTACCAGAAGGACAACAAGTTTTTTTTGCCTCTGCGTCGTTTTTATCCCACGTTACTGCTCGAGCAATTGCATTGTCCTCTGACTAACTTCCAGAGCCCGTTCTGTCTAGAGCTCCCCTTCTTATTTTGCATGTCAGGTGAAACGTTATTCCTGTCACTTCTTGCTCCGTGACTCTTTCTCTTTCTGGTCTCCTGTTATCTTCGATTCTGATTTTTTTCTTTTTCGCTTTTCCACTCTCCATCTCGCTTCGACTGAATTTTTTTGTTTTTCAATTGTATCAACCGACTGAATTGTGTAAAAGAAATTGAGTAAACTGTTTTGTGACAATGTGTTGTGAAAATTTGAGAGTCGTGAGTTTATCATATTCTCGTTCCGGACGAGCTTTGCTCGTTTTTGACCGTCTTGGTTGCTATAGCAACCGCGCCTGGACTTCATATTATCTGTTTCATTTTGACGTTTAGATTTTTCTAGAAACTTTTCGTTCCTGTTGAGCGTTGCTGTATCACTAAGCCTACTGTATAAACAGTCGAAGCGCCTTGTGAAAACATTCAATTGATGTTACTATGAATTTTTCATCTTAAATCAATTACGGCCATGGGTCACCGTTCGGTTCTCTCGATAAGTTATCAACAATGTCCATGACCTTTTGTGGAATGTGTATTCTTTTGAATTGCTATGGTAACAACCTATCTAACGTGTTAGTCTCGATTGGAAGATTTCCTTTAAACGGTTGTCCTCAAAAGCCGACGTCAGTGCTTTATGAGCGGTTACTATTAAGAACTCTGTCCCTAATAGGCAACGTTTAAATCGATCAACCGACCAAGCAACTGCCAGCAGCTCTAGTTCATTTGAGGAATATATTTTTTCTTGACTATTTGAATAACGTGAAGCAATTTAGATTAAAATCCAATCCCCCTCCTCCCTTTTTTGCTTTAGAGGCGCCCCAAACCACTATGACTGTCGTCACATTTCACCCGTGTTTCTTTGGAGCAATCGTAATAGTTCAATTTCGTAATATTAGCAACCACTTTTTTGGTTGCCTCAAATTTTTTTGACGGTTTCTCCCCCATTCAAACTGTTTTACTGGCACTTTAAAGATTTTTCAGTTTTTTTCTTCTCATTTTCTTTTCGTAACAGCGGTCGTAGTTTTTCTGTAAGTTTTGCGGCGTTTGGTATAAACTTCGAAAGATGGTTTATACTTACCAAGAAGGATCTAAGCTGTTTCAATGATTGTGGATGATCTAATTTCAGCATGGCTTTCGTTTTTGTTACTTTGGCGTAACTTCTGATAATTTTTGTCCTAGCCAGTTTACTTGGTTCTTGAAGATTTCGCACTTAGACAATTTGAGAGATAGATTCTCTCGATCCAATTTTTCTAATACCTCCGTGACCAATGTCTGTAATCCCACTCGGTACATTTGGATACCATTAATATATCATACAAAAAATAAAATGTGCGTTGTTAATAGTACGATCCATTGCTTTTTGAATTTCAGCTGGAATATCAGCCAGACCATGAATCCGGTGAGAAATCTAAATGTACCGGTTGCGTGCTCTCCCACTATGTTAAAGTTGGATTGTTTGGCAGTTTCCGCGGTCAATTTTAGTTGACTATAGGCGTAATTCAAGTCAAACACCGTAAACAACAAAATACTTGCTGCCTTTGCAGTCACAATTTGACTTAACCCATCAAGTTTTTCATCTTTCTGAATAATTGTCTATTTATCGGTTCTGCATCTAATGCCAATTTAAGTGCGTCGTCTTTTTTTTTTTACTATAATGACGATGGGGGCAATGTCACTTGTGCATTTTTTTAAATGCTGAATAAGGCCTTCTGACTTATTTATCGGTATTCTTCTGCCCTTTTCTTGGATGGGGCTCAATGGATACTTAAATTTTGTGTTAACCACCTGGATCTCTATATTTCAAAGAAAAATTGTTTTTCCAAACTTCCGGCTGCTCGCATAGTAGCACGTCAAACCTAGACCTTTCTTTTGGGGCTAATTTTTGTGTAGTACTGATCCCCACTCTGCTGTAAAAGTTGAGCCCCAAAATGCATAGTTTACGTCGTTCCGTTATTGGAAATGTGGCCTCTTGAAATTTCCATCTTGTAGAACATATTTTTGCCTTTAAAGCCCGAAGTTTTACGATACGTTATTTATTGTAATCCAGTAATTGCGCCGGCAAGTTTAAGTTTTCTGCTTGGTTAAATTTCATTTTGTGCAACGATTCAAGAATTTGTTTTGCCGTCGACCAGTTAAAGAAGAATATTGGGCTTCATGTTGATGATCCAAAGTTATGTTGATGATCTGATTATCAAATCGCAGTAATGATTTTGGTGATTTGATACTCTCCGATTTTGGATCTCTGCTTATGTCATTTTTTTGATTCGCCGAGTTGTTGGTAGATTGTTTCTGACAATTTTCTTTGTTCTCTAATCTCCTTTGTATATATCCATCAATATTATCCATCCGATTGGCTTTCAGCTCTATTGAAAATATTTCAAAGTCTTCACGAGAATTGAATGTTTGCATCAAATTGCACTCTTCCTCTGAACTCTCTGTCGTTTCAGTGATCTCATTGATTTGCTGAGATCTACAAATCCGGGCAAAATGGTTCGGTTTTTTACGGTTTTTGCACTGTCTTCTCATCGCTGGGGAATTTTTCCAAGTGTCCTTCGACGAAAGGTTTCCCACATCTACTGCTTGGTTTCTTTTCTTCGTTGTATTTTTTGGTCGCTCTCCCTTTTGTTTGTCTTTTTCTAAATTGATCTCGATTGTATCTTTTATTTGCTTGTCCACTGTTTCCCACAGCCAATATTGGTTCCTGTTTCATCTTGATTTGTGATCCAGATTGTGATATTGTCGATGTGTTATTCATATTGGGTTTTTTGAAGTGCCTGGGTTGTTTGCTTACTTTGTTCGAATTTTGATTGCCCGTTTTAATACCTCATCTTGAGTTAATGTTTCAAACATAAAATTATCTTGTACTGCGGCGCTCCTAATTTTAGAGATTAATAAGCCTCTCAGCGATTCATCTTCTAAGGCACCTAACGCTGATTTGGCTGCCTGAGCAGTCAGTGCAGCATAAAACGCCTCCAAGGTTTCTCCGGTCTTCTGCGGTCTATTGTATAATTTGTATCTTTTGTAGGTAATACTCTGGGATTTTTCGAATGTAGCTTTTGCTAACCTGACCGTTTCTTTAAATTCCAGCTTCGAAATTTTTTTGTGTGGATTTTTCTGCACAAAACCGTTTTTCCCCTTTGTCCCCAGAGCGAGAAATAATCTTTTTTTTTTGTATTTTATTGTTAAAGATGTTTTGACCTACTTTTGGTCCTCTCTCTTTTCTTTCTGCTTTTTCTGCTGCTACACGATCTTTGGCTAATCTATCTCGTGTTTCGCGAACTGCTGTCGCAACGGCATCCTCTCCAACGGCATCTTCGCGCCTCGGTTCTGGTTCCTCTATGACAGGTTTTGGTTCTTCCAAAATGATCTCCGGAATAACATTCTCTTTTAATGTTACTGCCATTAGGAACTGATCAAATCAAACTTTGAAAATCTATGGTGGGTCTGAATTTGCTGTGGTCCAGAATACCGGGATTCCCATGTCGGTCCTTTTGTCTTGTGACAAAAACCCTGCTGGCTGCGCCATGTGATAACCAAGAGAAACAACTCGTCTGTTTAGAAGTAAAACACCGGTATTCAAATGTTTGAATTTAAAAGTTAATTTTTTAGTGCTTTTGTTATTTGAGTGGTAGCTCAGATCAACTGGCTTAATTCCATGCATGAGTATCGCGAACTGAAATCAACAACAGATCATCTTTCAAAATAGCGCCTCTGACCTTGACTATACATACGTAACAATATCAATAACAAAATTACATAGCGCCAGTAACACACTTATCTGCAACTGCAGTAATAAATCATGTTTCAGCTCAAGGTTGCTGCAAGCGCAGTATTACAGCCACAAACCCATTTTGTTTTTAAAAACACGCCAAATATTTTTTTGCACATACCTCCTACTCAAAATTTATAAATGTTGGCTCGTCGGTCGCGAAAATGAATGTGGCATAACAATATTACGAAATGAACATTTGAGACGCGAGGGGATCTAATCCCTGAGGCACTTGAGGCGCGCAAAATGCCTGATGCCTAAAGCAGTGCGACGAGTTTTTTCAACCTTCCGTCAAAAAATTTAAGTGTTCAACGCATATTCTTTTTATTGCATGAATTAAGATAACTATTTGTTTACCTTTCATTCAGGCCGTGACCAGTGGTGCGAGTATGGACCATATGGACGCAGGAGGTCCACTCTATACCAATCCATGTGGCTCCAGCCAGAGGGGCATTTGTCTGTATGGCATTGCGAGCTACACTCTTCCAAACCCTAGTGCAGCCGGGGTGATCCGGAGTTATTTCACAAGTATACCGGAGCACATTGACTGGATCAGACAGAAAATGGGAAACTAAAGAAATCCATGATGATGACAAAGATTGAGACCAGACTGAAGCAGCTATGTAGTCAAAGTGCTATTTTTATTTTGTCCACGTGTCATTTTTTGTTTTGTACCGGATCAAAATCAAAAAAGCAAACATGTTCCTCATAATGAGAGGAAACTGGCAAACAATATACAAACTATCCCAATGATGCTGATTTGAACACTAATATGAACACTTTTCATAATGAATTTGAGTAAATAGGGGCAAATTTTCCAAACAAAGGTTTTTATCTAAAAAAACCACACCCCTCCCCCTCCTAGTTTGTGGAGTGGATATATTGCGTTGTGGTGCTTATGTAGTTGCTCTGAATACTGTTAAATACTAAAGTTTGAATGATACATTTTAATTTAGTTTGCAGATAGTTTCTCTTATCCAAAATAATGTGAAGAGGCGGAGGAGAGGACGAGGATTTGATCACACCTATTCAACTTTAGTTGTTTCATTTTAGGAAAAGTCAGTGTCCTGCTTTGATGATTCTTTCGTTTGATTATACGGTAAAAAGAAAAATATATATACACAAAGACATATAGTTCGATGTAAGCAATTCATAACAAAGGCAATAATAAGATCGGAATGCGAGAAAACACCTTCGTTTTCGATACTGCATTGCAAAAAATATATCAGACACTGGATATGAAACATTTTTTGGAGGCAGTCGCAGCAGATACCGTGTCTGAACGATTTGTTGAAGAGTTTCAAGTTTGACTTCCTTGCAAGAAAAATGCTAGTCGTATAAACTCCA